CCAAGAAAGAGAGAGAGAGAGAGAGGAACAGCCTACGCAAATGCATCAAATATACAAAGGTACTTTGAAATACTGAACAACAGTAAGGATGATTTAAAGGCATGTTTATTAATACAGGAATTCCCCTGTTTAGAAGAGAGTGTGCATTCAATATCTCAACAATAGAAGACAAAATTATAGAATTTTCATTTGTGAAATTGTATAGGCACTTACTGATAAGACGAATCGAAATATATATGGTTGGGTTTAAACCAAAAGCTGTAAGGATAGCTACAATACCAAATGTGTACAATTTTTATTTTGAAGGCATTACAAAACCAATGTTATAAGATTTTGAAACTTATTGCTAACAAACGAAAGATGAAGAAAAAAAATAGATTTCGAGAAGGCCTATAGTTTGGATAGTCACAAAGGTGAAATAAGGGTTGTTTTTTTCATCAAAAACCATACCATGCCTGTGAAATTGTCGTCAAGTAAACCCTTATAAACAGTAATATTTTTACAGCATCTTGTACTACTTGAAATGAATGTGAAGGACGGACCGGGACGGAAACGAGAGGGTGGGGCAGATAAAGAGGGCAAATGGTCGACGAGACTCTTGATTTGTGTGTACTTCTTTCTGTATTGTCTTGCCCTATTACATTTACCTCTATATTTCATGAAAATCAGAAATTATGCATCGTACATCCTATGAACACTGAATCAATATAAACGAAACACCAACAACTATGCGTAAATGTTGTCAGAGTTGTTGCAGGGACTACGACAGCGCTTCCAATCAGATACTATTCACACCGCCAAACAGATTCCAGACCGACTCCCCGACCGAGCGACTATTAGATTCTTTTAAGTCTGCTGTCTGTCTTGTTGGTGTAACCAGAGACATGTCTCTGCATGGTGTGGCAATATGTTAAAAGTTAAGGGTATAAGATCTTAGGATTGCTAAGAATAAACAATGCACTACTTGAAGATCGCAAGTCGAGTGTAGAGGAAAGATCATCATATCAGTAGGAGACCATGCTTGTAGTTGACATAAATAAAGCCGCGACAAAACTAGCTGAAAAATTCAGAACGACAAGAACAATACTGTGCTATTGATTCGAGAATGCCTTAGTTTCGGTAGTCGTCATGACAGAAGTATCTGTTTTGTAAGCCTATAGAACCAGTTTTGACTCCAATACTATCACACCACAATGCAAATACTATTCCTAGAATTATCATTCGACAAGGATGTAAGGGTAAACGATATTGTGGAGCTCATGACAACTCTTAAAATGATAATATACCGAGTTTCATTATTATTGAAAATCATCAAGTGAAGTGGATTGTAAACAAACAAAAGATCATTAGATGTCAAAATTTTCATCGACACTATCATTGTCATTGAGTGTATAGCTTTTGAACAAAGCGAAACTAAGAACAAGAGTTACAGTTACAATTAGAATCTAAATTGTAAAATCTAGGTCCTCTTTCCGAATTGTCATTTGCTTTATAAACATACTTTCCTGGCATTATGACATCTCTACAAACATTGAAAGCTGCTTTTGAAAATGTGTTTTTATCAACAATAGTGCAGACTCTATTCACCTTTTTGCCCTTTTCTGAATGTCAATGTTATTTACCTCGCCTTTTTTTTTCTAACCACAGGGGGCACCACGTACATGTATATTTTGATACGGAAGTGTAGTGTAATGTAAAAAAAAATGATATGATAGTGAAACATAAAAAATCCTCTGGAAAGAATTGAATCAGACTTCATGGTATTGTACACAAAAATTAATCATGAAATAGTTTTTCATTGTAAAAACTGTGTGCACATTCTGGCGTGTCGTATGAATGTTGAAGTTAAACAACTAACATTGAATGGAATTATTGTTCATTATCTGAGAATTTGCTTTTCATATAGTTTACAGAAAGGGTAATTACAAATTGAAGTAATAATAAATAGCTATAATTGATTTTCTTAAACCTTGACAATATACCAAGTGTGGTTTATGATTAAAAAATTCAGTGGATAGACCCATTTATGGAAGTAATCGTGATACCGACCGTGAGATATATCTCTTACAACGTAAACCTTTTATCTCTTTCTTTAAAAATGTAATTCTCTTGATAACTGAGTAATGTTTTGGTATTTTTTATATCATTTTTTATATCAAGATATTTTGTAATTAAGATGAACTGGATACAATTTATATGCGGTACGGGACACATCTCTCAGAAAAGCCCGATTTATCCCACTCGAAATATCTTTATTTTACCTGCTAAAAGTTTTGTAAGTTATGTCTCGATATCGTAGGGTTCTGGACTTGATATCGTTATCGAGGTAAGATGTAAACAGTATTCCAACGAACGACGACATCATTACACAATTATAATCACAATGAACAATGTTGCTTGGGGGACATGGTGAACTCGGTTAGAAGAATAATCTCACAATATCTATTAGCATGTGTCTCGGTTGCACATACTGCTGTACGGACGGGGAAACTCGGTCTTGTTAGGTGGAAGAAATCGACGGTGTTGGGAGCTTTAGAGGGGTGTCGTATTGTACTTATCTCACATCTCCCTCTCCCTACGGATTGATTGGAAACCCAGTTCAGCTCCTAGCCTGGTTCACATTATGTACCCTGTAACAAATACCCATCTTTCTTCTTTCTAAATAACCCCTCGCTCTCTCTATCTCTCTCCTCTAGTTCTTTCTATACTCTCTTTCTTTCTATCTCTGTCTCCATCGCTCTCTCACTCTCTCCCTCTACACCTCTTTGTTAGATTTTTTATAATTTGCTTGTTTGTTTTGTTTTTATTTCCGTAATCAGCAACATACATGTACAATGAAGTGTATGTACTTCATGCAAGTTGAGATACGGCTAAGATGGATAGCCCATTTTAGCTGAAATAATAACATAACAAGATCTTCCATGCGGTCTCTACTGGTGCATAATTGCATAGAATGAACGAATATTAGAAATATACATTTAGACTTTCATTGAAGAAAATGGACTCACACCACCTTTTCGGTATAGATACCCAGGGGCGGATCTAGAGGGGGGGGGGGTGTTTCGGCGGTTTAACCCCCCCCCCCCCTTGGCGGCCAAGTGAGAAAAAAAAGAAAGAAAACAGTAAAACGGCGCGATTTTTGGAGGAAAAAAATTGGTCAACCCCCCCCCCCCTTGGCAAAAAGCTAGACCTGCCCCTATTACCGCTTGAAAAAAAACACAAACAAGAACAAAAAGCCAAAACAAACATAAGATCAAATAAAGATTGAACGGAATATATGGTATTACTTTCGACTTCAATTCATGTCGATTTTATATTCAGTATGAATGCAAGTAATGGGAAGAGAGCAGGAAAGCATTTGAAAGTTGGACAAGGGCTTAGAGAGATTCTGCCATATAACCACTGATTTCTCTTTTTCAGATACGATGAGAGGGATTTAGGTGGGGAATATGATGGATATATGAGGAAGTAGAAGTACCATACTTAGCCATTCACTGCATATATTATACACATTTATTACCCTTTACAGTTGTGCTCCAGAAGAAGGATGAATTATGCATGGTATAAAAAAAGGTATTACGAGTCGCCAGTGGCAGTAATTTTGATCTTCATCATAGTTGGTAAACAATGTAATCTGCCATCTAAGTTTTAATATACATTGGGTGGCAGCTGATTTGAGCGGAACGCTATCAATTAACACAAACTGCGTGAGGCATCCATTAATTATTGATCCAGAATTATGAGATATTTAAATGAAATACATCAAATGAAATACGTCAACTATTTAAGTAGATAGACTTTTTTTGTGTGCATGTTATAGAGGAGATAAATAGTGTACAGCTTAGTTATGAATTCATAGAAAAAATCAAAGGTTATACGTTTAATGTAAAACAAATCCAGATTAGATTTGTTATGTTAGGTACGACATTTTAATATCATATTCTGTCAGAAAATACTTTTTCCTTTTGGTCCACCATCAATCAGATTAGCTATGAAAAATAATCAAAGCGTTTGATTTGTGATTACCTAGGATATAATTATGACGAAACCTCTCATAATGAGTTGTGAAATGGAGGGGGTGACGACTTGTCACAATAGAAAATTAAGGAGCGCTCGAAATGAGGAATGTGCCCATGCATGAGGTATGTAACTGGGCCCCTATCGGTGTAATACTTAGTATGAAATAACTCCTAGATCTCCTCCAAAACACATCGACTTAAATTCGTGTATAGCTTCTCCATGCCAACATTCACGATGTTTACAACATAGAATTCCACAACTCTTTGTTCTAACCTGGGATTCGTAAAACGTAATCAAGAATAATTAAGTTTTCAAGGAGGGTCGTAGATGTATATAAATCTCTTTTGATTATATGGAGTAACAACACTGTCCAAGGTTTTTCTTTTGAGGGTTAACATTCACTGACAAGGACCGTCAGAGCTGATGTAGTCGTTTAGGCCAAAAGGTAAAAAACAATTAGATTGGAAGACGTTCCAGATACGATATACCTTTGCCTATTATTTCAACCTTTTACGAGGTATTGTATTTTAATAACCCGAACGCAAACTCAGTGCATTCGTAAGTCGTTGCTAGGTCGGGTTGCTTGTCCGACCTAGCAACAATGGCTGCAATCCATATTCTAATGATGAAACTAATAGAAAGTAATATTTTGTTTATAAACTCAGTATGAAGGAGTATGCATTCATTTCCAACCTGTCGGGTAGTAAGACCTTTTAACTAATTTCATAAATGATTCTTGAACAATGGTTGCTCCATGAAAAATCAAAGCTTGCCAGACATAGCAATATATAACGTATGCACAGTAGATTCCATCTATAGATATGTCATAATGCTCAGCAGGTGAATTAAATAATTAGTATCCAGTGGTTTTGGAGAGAAACATGCATATATTGAATTACATTAGTAAAGAGGTCTATCAATTTTGTTTTCAAAATGGCGAATTTAAATGTTTTCCCAAACAAAAAGAATGAATGTCTCACCTGTGTATCATTCCACACCATTCTGAGTTCATAATCAGCGAGGAGATCAGGGCGATTGTTAACATGCTCTAATGCCATCTCTACCACAGGTAATATACCACTACCGTCCCAATTCCCTCCAAGGGTGAAAAACCCACCCAGGTAAATCGGTATTTTCCCGTCTCTCCCGACTCCATCAGAGGATCCAACACCCTGTGATTGGTTTGCCTCGGTCTGGAAGGTTGTGAAGGGAATCGACGATGCCGATTCGAAGTCATTGATGACGGTGGATTGTGATGACAACGTCGTAGACATCATCGTATCACTGAACGCTGAAGTAGACATCGAGTCTGTGGTGGCTAGCGAAGCCGCCGACATCGACAGCGCGATTACAAGCCAGACTTCAAACCGTAGCAGCCGGAGAAGTCTTGTTGTCGCCATCACTCTCAAACTTAATAGCCCCATTGTCATGACTGTGTCTGAACCAGGAGACGGTGTCAGCCTACTGTCTTCTTAGAGCATTTGTTATCTTGCGATTGTCCGTGCAAGAGTGCAAGAGGACGACAAGAGAATGCAGCGCGCGCAAAAGATGCACGAAGACTAAACTATAATCATCCAGTGTTGTCGCTTGCCTGAATCAATTATCTCCATCAGCCAAGATTAGATCATACACTTCCGTGAAGAAAAAAATTATTCACCGTTACATCCATTGTGCCTTAAAATCACGCCTTTGCCTCATTACAATCAGATTCAGAACTAGACCCATGAATATTATGAACGACATGTTCCCGATTATTACCACAAACCAGGTGTACGCTTGAATACCGCTCACTCAATAGATCAGGACACGGAAACAATAGAATCTGCTGCAAATATTCTATTTCTAGAAAAAGGAATGTTTGTGTACGTGTATTGTATTTTTAACTATTGTGACGTAAATTTTTCTTAGTAATCCGCTCTTTTAGGTAATTTACTTTTAACATTGACTGTATACATTATTATGATGTCGAGTATAAAGGCACATATTCGGAAGAAATGTTGTAGGCCTCGTTGTTGAATAATAATCAACTTGTGTATCATTAATATTTTCGCTGTTTATTTTTTCGTCATTTAATCAATAGAAATATTGTTGCGTTTGCTCGTTATAAAAGCCTTTGTTAAAATGGTCAGGAAAAATCGACTCACCAACTACTACAGTCACAACGATGAAACCGATGCAAGACCGACAAAACACCAATCAAAATTGTACATTACAACGAATGACCACGAATGACCAAGAATCGGTCAGTTTGGGCGATGTGACTTATAGGTGTAGACTGCTAACCGAATGACTTTAAATCTGTTTTCTTTCTTTTCTTGTTTTTCACAAACAAACAGACAAAGTTCAGTAGAGTTTTAGTCCTGAATGAAGTTGGTTTTGTTGGCTAGATGGTTGCCCGTAAATCCTTTCAATTTGGCCTCTGGTCGCTTTGTCCCTGCCCCATCCAAATCGTTTAAAAACGTACTCAAAAACAATGTAACGCAAAACAGGCAAAACACTTTCTTCGCAGTAACAAAAATGATTAAGAAGTTAGTTTGGATTATAATTATAGCGCTTAGTATACATATACGGTGTCTCTAAAAGCCTTTACACTGTCATAACATTTCAGACAAGCCTACACACAATGTGTGCGCATTCTCCACTCACTGGGGAGCATTCTAACGAGAGGTTATTGTACAGACTATACAGTGATCAACTAAACACGATGAATTTGTATCATACTGGGTGCCTTGGTTAAGAGTATGGAGAAGCATTTTTTTGATTAAAAAATCAATGCTTAAGGACATTAGTGTTATGTCGAGGAGCAAACCTGCGCTTCTCCAGTCATGTGTGTGAACCTCACCACTCGACAAGCAATCAGAAGATATAGGCCTGTGCCATGTTTGAAATCGAATAATACGAAGAAGAAGAGAAAAAAAAAACATTTCAATTGATCCCGGCCTCCCCAAGTGCATTTAGATATTATATTCCGATGCAGGTTAATTGCCAGTAATATAATAGGTTTCTCTTAAAAGGAGAGAGAGAGAGAGAGAGACAGAGAGAGACAGACAGAGACAGAGAGAGAGAGACAGAGAGAGAGACAGAGACAGACAGAGAGAGACTCTACTGACATTCTTGTATGACATTTTGCTGATTTCCGGAACATAAGAGCATTATACGGATACAGTTATGAGCAAGCAAGAAGAAGTCGGGGTCAAAATCTGTGAAAAGCAACGAAATATTATGAACATACTGCGATGTTATTTCCATGAAGCCCCAAAATGTTCTTGATTGTTTGTTCTATGGGTGTATACCTAATCATTTGATACACCGAGATATCTATCCCGGTCATCCTTTGACAACTTTATGTAGAAGACAGCTGACTCACGCATTTACAAGTGAATCAATTGATAAAACATTCATTATTGAATGCGTTGATGAATTCTCGAAAAACCCTTATACATGTATAATCCAATCAAACAAAATGCATGCATGGATTATTCTGAGGTCACGAAACTTTGCTTCGTAGAAGTGTTGAATATTGGATATCTATTCCAAATATCGTGAATTTGTTACGATATACATGATTTTGTATGGAGCTCCTAAATGCGCGAGTCAAGGCCTTCTTCATCGAATTTTTATTAATTTTTCTTTTATAACGGCTAAATCATTTGCCTCAACAATAGCAGACTATCGCCCTCTGATTCCATGAAATGAAATGCTCTTATTTTTGTCACTTCATATACAGCAGTCCCGTGATATTCTAAATTACTCTTAGCGTAATTTTCATGTTTATTTTGTTTCTATTTCTTTTTGTGTACAGAACCCGTTACTCTATACTAACCCGTTTGATACATAGACCGCCAGAACGAAGTATGTGAACACGAGAGAACACACATGGCGTCTTATTGGCATGCTAGTTGGACGGTTGGACCACTACAATACTTCAAGTCAAAACCTTTTATAGTGGTAGAGATAGTGATCTTCACTTGACTCTGGTTGTTTCTGTTTCATCAAATTTAGTATAATAATACTCTATGTTGAAAAAGAGTCCTAAAATTAGACTTTCATAATTATATAAATATTTGCCAACATAAAGAGAATGTGCAATACCACTGAACACTGGCATGTCTATTTATCTCTGTATTAGGCCTACAAACATGTCTTCCATTATTTCTCAAGCTCAAGTCGTCTTAACCCCCACTCTCTCTCTGTCTGTCTCGTTTTCTTCTTCTTCTCCTTCTTCTTCTTCTTCTTTTTCTTCTTCTCTCTCTCTCTCTTTCTCTCTCTCTCTCTCTCTTTCTCTCTCTCTCTCTCTCTCTCTCTCTCTCTCTCTCTCTCTCTCTCTCTCTCAGTATATCAGTATCGTTCTCTATTTATATTTGTCTCCGTGATGTGTTCTTTAAGTTTCTTTATGAACTCTTCTCTTCACCATCTAACTGCCATCAAAAGAGGGCGCTGTGTGATAATAGAAGTTTTCTTCTCATTGCATAATATACATGAGCGGAAAATCAGTTTACTAAATGATTAATTGCTCGTGTTGTCGGTCATTAACATCTACTCTGAGCACACATTTGGTAACTCCTTCCAAATGTCTAAGAGACAACGACGAAATCGAAACCGACTAAAGACTGAATGAAAAACTGTTTGAGTGGAAAAAAAAGTTTGAAATGATTAGAATACATGTATTTGTTACTGTATAAGTTATAATAATAATAATAATAATAATAATAATAATAATAATAATATTATATATTTATATAGCGCACATATCCACCCTGCAAGGTGCTCAAAGCGCCCGTATCGTACAGTAGTTGTGACCTTGCCTCTTTACATTACATTCCATAACATAAAATTGCATCACATCACATTACATTGTATTATATTAAGTTACATTACATTACACTGCATTACCTATAGTATTTCATTCAAGTGAATCAATTAATGCAACCTGAAAACAAAGGTAAAATACGCAGTTTACATGAATAAAAGTAAATCAGGTATGGGAAATGACTTAAAAGATATGACTATATAAGAATACATACTCTTAAAGAGAAACAACGAGATTGTTTTTAAACTGTTGATGCAAAATGCATTTCGAGGAAAAGAATTCCGAATTTAAATAACATGTGCCTTTTTTTTTGTATATCTCAGCATTTAAATAGAAGTAGCCGCCTACCAATATTGTTCCTCTTTTATTCATCTCTATCTTTCTCAGACACATAACCTGCCCTGGTAGAGGGCGCTCGCGATAGGGCGTGGACGCAAATTTGTTACACTTAGGAAATATCAGGATTTACAATAGAAAATCTCCTTTATATCACATATTATTTGGAATATCTAGTGAACACCTACATCGCAAGAAGGAATCACAAAGGTAAGCAGACATTTTGTGGGCAAATTGTTTATACTAACACTGTTAAAAACTATCGAATCTTTTTGAAACTCCCGCCTTTTTGTAGTGGCGCCACGTCACTGCAACCATGGCGGCCTCCGCTCCGGAGCAATTAGGCAACGAAACAGAAGATAATTTTATGACTGTCAGTCCAGGGAAAAAACAATCAGCAAAAAGACGAAGAAAAGAAAGTAGAGAAGTGGAAACACTTAAAATGCACGATACTTCGAATTCGGATAAAGAAAATGATACTTTCTCAACCCCCAAACCACCTGACTTAAAATGCTTTTTAGTCCCTATAGACAAAACGAAAAATCTAAACAATCTGAATCTCCTAGTGATAGCTAAAGCTATACATGCAGTGGTGGGCAATAATCCAGTGGAATTCGTGAAGCATGTAAGGAATGGAATCATGGTAAAGTGTAAAAACTCCAAGCAAATGAGAAGTGTGAAAGAAATTGAAAACATCGGAAATATCCCCGTGAAGGCGGAAGAGTTGAGAAATTGGGTGAAAGGAGTGATATATGGTATCCCCATCGAAATGACAGAACGAGAAATCCAAAATGAACTGACTAAACAGAAAGTTGTGGGGGTTAAAAGAATGATGAGTAGAAGAAATGACAAAAAAGAAAATGGTTCTCAAGGAAGAGAAGACAAAATAAAAGAACCAATTCCCACTAGGAATATCATTCTATCATTTGACCGCACCAACCTCCCCTCTGAAATAACGTTTTGTTACCAATTATTTAAGGTTAAACAATTCTTTCCACCCACACTCAGATGTTTCAAATGCCAACGTTTCGGCCACGGAATAGCACAATGTGAATCCAAGCCCAGATGTGTTCGCTGTGGGGAGACGCACTCCTTCGACGAATGTCCCCACAAAGAAACGCCAAAATGTGTTAATTGTGGAGGCGAACACTCTGCGGCATATTTGGGATGTCAAGAAGCCCAAAAAGCAAAAGAAGTGCAAAGAATCAAAATAGAAAAAAAAAGTAAGCTATGCTCAAGCTGCCAAAGTTTGGAAGAATGATCAAGATCAAGCAATGGATACAAACCAAATCCAACACGCTCCTCTTTCACAAGAAAGACAAGCGGTAGACTTTCCGGTACAGATAAACAAACAAACACCCCAGATAAAAGAATCTGAGAAGGAAATTAAAACTTATCCCAAACAACTAAAACAAAGCGAAGGCAGACAACAAAACAGAAATACGAAAGAAAATACTGCACACCAAGATTATTCTGGAACCACGCAGTATGTTCATGAAGGAGGAGAAGTTTGTAAAAATGAGAAAAACTTCGTTGTCAATGCCAGTAATGAAGAAATAATTTCATTTATTGTATATATTCTTGCAAATTTTAATCAAAAGAAAGATAATCCAATAAGCCTGATTGTAGGAGCAGCTCTCAAATTTTTCAATCTCACTAAAGAAATGTTAAATGAACAAAATGTTATTGACCTGGTATTTTAGTCTGTTCGCCTCCGTGACCCTAAATATACTGCAATGGAATGCGCAGGGCATAAATGGTCACGGAGACGAACTGAGACTTCACATTAATAATAGACAAGAAATAATTCATTTAATTTGCGTGCAAGAAACTTGGCTATTAGAAAACGAAAATTTTGATATAAATAATTATGAAGGAGTTTATAGAAATAGAAAAACAGGCATACGAGGTGGATGTGCTATATACTTCCATAATTCGTTAGGACATAACAAAGTTACAGAACATGAAGACATAGAATGTCAAACGGTGAATATATATTTCAATCAATGTATATACACAGTGGTGAACTTTTATAACCCATGTAAAAAGATAACACCACAGATATTGGATAATATAACAAAAAATGCAAAAGAAGCTAAAAGAAAAATTATATTAGGAGACTTTAACGCACATAATACTTTATGGGGTAGTGACAAGACCGACGGAAATGGAAAAATAATCGAAAAATACATGTTGAAACATGATTTTACGATTTGTAACCTTGGGGAAGGTACAAGAATTGACCATAGAACGACAAAGCGTTCAGCATTAGATTTATGCTTTTCATCTCCTAATATTTCCCATAAGATTTCTTGGAGCGTAGAATCTACCACTTTAGGAAGTGATCATTTTCCTATATTGATAGAAATAGGAAATCAAAATGATCTTCCAAAGATTGATCCGGAAGAAATAAATTGGTCACTTGCTAATATTAATTGGGAAACATTCCAACACGCATGTGAAGAAGAGATGATAAATATAGACGAACATAATGTAGAAGAAGCTTACATTATATTTGTAGAAACTTTGAATAACATAATGATACGTCTAGGAAAAGTGAAATCAAAAAGAAGACAAAATCCTGTTCCCTGGTGGAACAAGGAATGTTCACAAAGTATAAAAGAAAGAAATCACCTAAGATATCTAGCAGAGAAAAGAAAAACTGGAGAGTATGTAGAAGATTACCTGATAAAGAAAGCAGAAGCACAAAAGATCAAAAGACAAGCAAAACGAGACTATTGGATCACCTATTGTAAGGAAATGACTCGTTTCACATCAATGACAGACATTTGGAATATGATACGTAAAATAGAAAATAGTAAGACTAATAAGAAAAATAAAAACATTAAATCGATAATATACGAAGAGAAAGAAATAATAAATCCTCAAGAGGTTGTAAATGTGATGGCTAATCATTTTGAAAATATTAGTGAGAGTACAATAATAAACAATGAAGCCGAAAATATAGTTAAAGAATATATTATGCAAGAAAATGTAAATGACGATCAAGAACAACGTAGAAATCAGTCTTTGAATCAAAAATTTACTATGCAAGAATTCAATCAAGTCCTGAAAAATCAAAAAGATACAGCACCAGGAAAAGATAAAATTGGATATGAAATCTACAAGAAGTTACCAGTACAGATTAAAAATAAAATGTTAAAAATTATGAATAAGATTTGGGAAAGTGGAAACATCCCCCAACAGTGTAAACACGGAATCTTGATACCGATACTAAAAGCAGGTAAAGATCCACAAAAACCATCATCGTATAGACCAATAACATTAACTCCCATCTTTATAAAGATATTGGAAAAGATGGTTTATAGAAGACTAGATTGGTATTTAGAAAATAAAAGTATTTTTCCGAGCATACAGAGCGGATTCAGAAAAGGAAGAAGCTCTACAGATAATATTATACTACTTGAAAATAGTATTCAGCAAAGCTTAGGGAACCATGAACATACTCTAGTCTGCTTTATAGATGTAACAAAAGCATACGATAAGTTGTGGTACAATGGTTTATTATATAAATTACTCAAATTAGGAGTGAAAGGAAACATGTATACATTTATTCAGAACTTACTACAGAAAAGAACCTTCCAAGTGAGGAATGGACAGACATTATCTAAAATATCTACCCTAGCCAATGGATTACCACAAGGAAGTGCCCTTAGCCCAATTTTATTCAACATTATGATGCATGATATACCATTGGAAAAGGAAGTGAATTTATCATTATTTGCAGATGACTGTGCTATATGGAAATCAGGTAAAAATGAAACGTTTGTTCAAGACAAAGTTCAAACATACCTACATCGGTTAAATGAATGGTTTAAATACTGGGGAATTTCAATATCTCATGAAAAAACAGTTTCGCTTCTATTTACAAATAGTAATAAAAAATGTGAACTGAATCTTGAAGGAGTACCCTTGCCTTTTGTACAGGAGCACAAATTCCTAGGCTTAATGTTTGATAAAAAATTAAGTTGGAGACCACATATTCAGGATATAGTAAAAAGATGTAAAATAAAATTGAATATTTTGAAGAAAATAACTGGTATATCATGGGGAAATGACTCCCACTCTATGCTTATTGTATATAAAGCATTAATACGTTCACTATTTGACTATGGATGTGAAGCATACGATTCAGCTTCAAACTTAGTAAAGAATACGTTGAACTCAGTACAATATCAGGCTTTAAAAATTATAACTGGTGGCCCTATTGGAACTTCATTACAATCCCTGCTTAAAGAAACAGGAGAAGAACCACTAGATATAAGGAGAAAAATGCTGACGAATAGATATTATTTTAAAGTGAAATCTACTCCCGAACACCCAGTCCGAAAATGTACAATAAACTGTTGGCAGTATGAAAATCTTAAAAAAAAGAAAGGAAAAAAGCCCTTTGGTTTTAGAATTCTAAACGAGAAAATAGTTCAAGAATCGGATGAAGTTGAAGAAAACAGACCAATACCATTTCCACCATGGCATTACATTCCACCCACCATCTCCACTGAATTACATACTTTAATCAGCAAGAATGACAACCCACACTATCAAAAAGCCAAATCTTTAGAAGTAATAAACACTAGATATAAAACACACCTACATATATACACAGACGGATCTAAAGATCCTAAAAGAGGCAACGCAGCAGCAGGCTTCTACGTACCAGCGATGAAAATTCATGAACAGAAACGATTACACAATGACACATCGTCATACAGGGCAGAACAAGTAGCCATTATTATGGCATTAGATTGGATTGAAAACTTGAATATTTATGTTGGTATAGTTATTCTTTCAGACTCTCTGAGTACAATAAATGCAATAGAATCGCAGATAAAAGAAAATTTCGTAATAGAAATACTGATAAAAATAACACATCTTCATTATAGAGGTATAAACATAACGCTAGAATGGATCCCATCTCACTGTGGACTAGTAGGGAATGAAGTAGTAGATAGTTTTGCTAAGAGAGCATTAAAGAAAAACATAGAAATTAACAATGATCTTAATGTACAAGAACTGAAATCAATACTGAGTAAAAGAGTACGAGAAATTGGGGAAGAAAGATGGAAAACGATAGAATCACCTTTAAAACGATTTGAGAATCATTCATGTATATCAATCAAGGTAAACAGATACAGTGAAGTAATATTACATAGATTGAGAATGGGTGTTCTTCAACTGAACCAACAAAAGGCTAAAGTGGGTTTAAGTGAAACAGAATATTGTGATTATTGTAACATCAGTGAAACAGAAGAACATTTTATATTTTATTGTAATAAGTATATCATTGAACGAGCAATGCTTTTCTCAGATTTAGACACCAAAACAATAGAAGAAACAAAAAGAATACTTTTCAAGTTTTCACAGAAGGCTCAATATGCCATCCTACTATATATCCATAGAACAGGTCGCTTCAAATAAAACAAGAGACCTAATAAGTTTACCTACAAGTAAAGTAAAATAAGCCAAAAGTACTTCTTTCCCCTATCGCTTCTTTAGGAGATTCTCATAAAGAGAATAAAAGGAGGAATAAATAAAGAAATATAATGTATGTAGGTATGTAATATATAGGCCTATATAGGCCATATATAATATTAAATAAAGACGTTAATTTTTCAATTGTTCTATTTTTATGCATTGATACTAACAAAGAGCCCACTTAAATGTTTGCTTACAAATAGTGATAATGTGATAAGATTTGTATATCAATTTACTTGAATGGATTGGAAATTCGGTTTCAGGAGCGCCCCTGTACGATGTGTCTCAATTTATAGTGTTTCTGTGTTTCTGAGTGGTCTAGGCACCGTGCGTTATAAAATTAAAAGATCACTGCGCACGCACGCCGAGTAGCCGAGAAGCCTGTTTCACATCGGGCAAAGCTAGTTTTCAGTTTTCCATGCCATCGAAACCGGGCTGACCAGATTAAACTTTAAAAAAAAGCAGAAACACGAAGTTGCAAACCATCCAGAGACTCCTAAAAAATTGCGTTACTTTTTAATTATATCATTACAAATCTTTATCCTCAGTTTTCTTATTTATAACTGATTTTCCTTATAAAATTAAAAATAATTATGGCGTATATATTCAACATTGAATGAACGCCAATAAACAATTACCCAACAACAACAACTGTTTCCTGAAGCAGGTCAGTTTTTTCAGTTTTTATCATTTTTTGCCATTAAATTCCTTTAAAAAAAAAAAAAACTGTTTATATCATCATATTCTGTTGTCACTGTAACCATAAGTCAAAGAGCTGCATGCACTTCAAGCGCACGCATACGTACGCTGCAGCTATTCTCAGTTTGATGAGTCAATAATCGTTCCCAACAGTTTGTTTCATAAATTGTGTTATTCATTGTGATTTGAAAAATATTACCACTATGTACAAACTGTTCTACTGTCACTGATTATTTTTGTATGAAAAATGCAGAAAATCAATAATTCAAAATCAAATCAAAATGTACGTGCTATGTGCATAACAACACAATACGGGTATATATTGTGTTCTTACAGACGTCTGTCAATCAGATATGATTATTTACGTCTGGGGACCGACCTTTAAACGTCACCATCCGAAAAACGTGACTCAGATTTGAACCTGCGTCCTCGGCTGAATCAGTTTGTAATTTTAGCTGGATAACAGGCGCACGCCTCAACGCCTAGTTACAATATACAATATACAATACAGTCCTTAAAATAACATTTTCCCGCATAATTAGCAGTTTGTGATGAGTATAGGTCAAAAAATCTGAATATAATTATACTTTAATAGACCAGTTATCCGGGTACGAGACATACCACATTATGATAATTGCATCCTCTCAATATTGAAAGGACAATTAGTTGACTAGTATCCCAAGCAGAGTGAGGAGAAAGATGGAAAGTGGATCAATGATGGCGTCCGTTGCTGACGGGGTGCCGTTTTCACTGAACTTAAAAACGCCCAAGACTCCAAAGTGATCAGAGAGATCACGTGTTTGGATGCGTCGAAGACATCGATTAGATGTTGCGTAGATTGGGATTAACTCATTGGCAGATACACAGATATCAATGGGTTCGGCCAGTTGAGGGCGTACCACTTCCACAGAAGCATTTGTAGGTTGGAGATGATTGTTGCTGTAGAGTACGTAATCAATCCAGCCTGTATCATTCAAATACTCCGTATGATTGACGAGGTCATTCTCTGGTCCATGGTAGGTGTACATGTACTCTCCAATGTTGGATGGTTGTGTGGCGTTTAACATGTCAATTACGTCAGTACCATGTGACGTTCCATTTATAACATTTAAATCTCCTGCATATATGACAGGTGCATTAGGTGATATATTCTGCATCTCCATCAAAATACGCATTTCTTCTGCCTGTTTAACACGGACTTTTTCGGATAAAGGTGTATCAGTAGACTGCATATGAGTACCAACAATGTGATAGGTCATCATAGATTTCCCAACCGTTTTAATGATCTCAGCGTATACTGCTCCTTTAGCAGCCAGATACTCCCATGTAGAATTATCAGCAGCAGTATAGACGTGACTGTCATTTCGAACAATAGGCCATCTTGAAGCAATAAATGTCCCGCCGTTAAAGAGATGGGGAGGCTGAACTGGTTGTCCAACGTTTTCAGTGAAATGGCTAAAGCCAAGTTGGGTAAGGATGTCTCTGAAATTGAGGACACTCGAATCAATAGCAGGGTCGAACATGGAGAAACATCCTCCCTGGAACAATTCGTTGAAGACAATAACGTCAAGATCAGGGTGCAGCCGGAACACTTCGTGTGGAATGCGACAGGTTCGTTCTCTTTGACCACATTGCCAGGTCGGGTACGGTACTTCAAGAATGTTGTAGGCAAGCACCCGAAGTGTTGAAACTGATGTAGGATTGGTCAACGGAACAGCTGGTGGAGAGGCGCACAGGAGCTTGTTGCCGTTTACACACGGTGGAAATTCACCGCCATCAGGGTCATCACAGATGGAGTCAAGGCCAAAGTATGGACAACCTGGTGAGTCCTCTTTACAGTCGTACGCTTGTTGTTCACCACCTGGTGTAGAGGAAGACATTGAGAAACCGCAGAATAAAAGATGAGTTGAACATTACAAGACAATAGAGAAAGAAGTAGGTCTAGCAATGCAGTGAAATCGTTAAAATTCTCTATGAATGAGATCAATGTCCGATTGCTTATCATATCACTAAAACATAGGACCGTGCGCCAAGGCCTAAAACAGTCGGTTGCACGCCATGTGAGAATAACATCGTACACAAATTAATGAAAAAAATACTCTAATTGCTGGACTAACAATAAAATCGGACCGACTAATGGCGTCCATAGGCTTGCTTATCGTAGGTTTTAACGCAATACAAAATTAATGATGCCTCGTGTCAATAAGGTCATATAATTATTAAAACAATAACATCTTATCTTTTTTTTACAACATCGATGACTTCAATGTAATATAAATCACATGTAGGACATAAAGGATTTATTTAGAAAGCATTCACCGTTCGCGGTGGTATATTTTGTATTAATATGAAACGATCAAAAATCATTAGGCCAACATGGATAGTGTATTGGGCTGTCAGTCAACAGTCAGTGTCTGCCACAACAACCTATAAGCAGAAAAGAAATGTTAAGAGAGCCCTGAATTAAGCGCTATAACTAAAGTCTCATTTGAGGTGTTCACACGTGTACAAGCATTGCTTTTTAGTGGACCCCTCTTTTTCCAACATGTATTTTGACATTGGTTTTTAAATGCTTCTAATTGATTTGTAATGTTTTGTTGGAAACATGAATAAATTGAAATTGAATATTGAAATTAATGTCTGTTAAACACGGGGCGGTACAGTGCCTGACGCAGAGGACTGCGTCAATTACTGATGTGTGGTCCTAGATGAGCCATCTGTGATGAGGGTTATACAGTACAAAAAGCGAAGAGTGCAAACACTACTCAATTCTTTACAGGTTTAAAGCCGAGGTCCACTCCAAAAAACAATTTATTTTCAATAGAAGCAGAAAAATCCGACTAACCAATCAAAAAAAGTCTGAGCAAAATCGGATAACTAATAAGAAAGTTATGAATTTTTGAAAAAGTATGTAAAACTATGGAACAATGAGAATCACAACACAAATTGCCAAGATTTGTCTGCTTTTATTGAAAGTAAGTTATTTTTCGAGTGCACTTGTCCTTTAATATTATCGAAATGAGCGACACGCCCTGTGCAACGGACATTAAGTTTTTAAACGTAGGCATACTGTCTTAATGTAGGTATAGGGCTATATTACCGGTCTCCCTCTTCCTTAATTATGCAGAAAGAGAGAGAGAGAGAGAGAGAGAGAGAGGGGGGAGGGGGAGGGAGGGGGGAGAAAGAAAGGGAGAGAAGAATAGAAATGATATAAAAGGAAATTTATGAAATATCTATCTGAGGACCAATCAAACATATCTTTCCATAATTTCTGGTCCAATTGGAGTCGTGTGTTTGGTCGAATATTTATCATGGCTACATGACTGTAAAAGAATGAGAGACATAACTTACCTAACCATACGATTGGAGTACTGTCGTTCACTGTACACGGAACTATAACAAAATTAAAATAACAAGATAATACAAATCAATGATTTTATTCTTCTTTTTAGACGCCTTTCCTCCTTAAACTCTGCATAAGTATTACACTTACTACATGTTCATTACTTTAACACGGGGGAGGGGGGGGGGGGCTCGCTACCACATAAAAACAGAAGATTCATACCCTTAGCCAACGGTAAATACTGAAATGTTTTTCATGGGGTGCCAATAAAGAACATCACATGAGTACAGTTATGAAGAAGAAGAACCCATCTAAACTTCCAAATAGGAAAGTGTTTAGTTTGTGTGAAAAGTTTAACAGTATAATTATCAGACCAGTTACGTTCACTGATTTCTGTTTAGCAAGTAGAGTCTATTGGTGTTCACTGGAACGAGGAGACTAGAAACCGATGAAGCAATCCGTTTTCAATGAATTCTCGTGAAATTATCAGCTTTCCGTTGGTTCCTTTGTATACATGTATACAGACATGGTCACTAAACTCAGCTATTAAAGCACATTCCTATATGGTTGAGTAGCTGAAGTGAAAAGGTTCAATGAAATATTTCCAGCCTTCATAGCAGTATACAAGATTATATGCACTACCTGACACGAATCCAAAACTTTATCTCATGCAATAATTATAAACAGCAATCATGATAAGTTTCAGTTTTAAAAGCACTACTCAAACCGTCTTAAGAAAATAATTGAACGAGTGAATATATGGAACCCGATATCAATACATCAGTAAAATAGTAATTTGGCGCCATGGTTGTATTACGAATTAATATTGGTTTAGAAAAGGCCAGTTAGGCCTAATACACTTTCTCTACTACTGAAATAAAGGCTTGTCCAGCTCTTGTATGTCAATTGTTGTTACTATTCGACTTAAAAAGAATATTATTATTCCCTTTTCATTAATCTTGTTTACAGATCCTTTCAGCCTGTGCTGATGACCATCATCTTCCATACGGATTAACTGTTGTGTTTGGTCTTCTTAATGTAAACATCATAAGCATTATTTTTCAATGATGATGCTGTTGATATTATTATAGTTTTATCCACAAATGAAATAAAGCTGGAAACCGATTGAAGCCTGAGGCTATAATTTGAAAGGGGTGGGGATAAAAATTGAAATCCCTTTTGGATACTCCTATATTCATTTCTTTGGGGTTATAAAGCTTATGGAATTATGCAAAATAGAGTTTATTAACATTCGATGAGAGTTATTGCGTATGTTTACTAAATATGATCTGTACTGGAGAAAAAAATCAACATCTATAAATATGGCATTTTCTACGTATTGTGTCAATGAGTTTTAGAAGTATACATAAAATAGTACATCTCTTATTTTATCGGAATTTGGCTTTAATATCTACGGGGAGAGATTTCCTATTGCGACAGCCACCTAAAATCTAACCCTAACCCTATCCCTAACCCTATTCCTAACCCCAACCCTAATCCTATCTCTAACCCTATTTTATCATGTTTTATATATCATATTATTATTACATATATAATTTTAAGCTGTACCCATATTTATTTTTTTGAATTTGGGTGGCTGTCGCAAAAGGAAGTCTTCCTATCTACGGGACTTACATGGATGACCATTGACTGTTGCTAGGAGAAACCAGCAAAGAAAGTACAGATCGAGGATCTTCACAGCTACCTTCATGATGAGAAGTATTTTGAGCCCGTCTCTGATGATGTGATCTCTTCGTCTGCTTCGCTTTGATTACACACTAACATCTGATACCTCTGTATTGGTTGTTGTCGTCCACGAGACTCTACCCTATATCTGCGCGTAACACCTATACAATTGCTTCTAGTTCTAAGCTCGTTGAGCTGTGAAGAAGTAAACCACGTCGTGTTTTTTTAAACGTGAAAGTGAATGACGACTGCGGGCGACAAAGGTCTTACGTATATTCATTTACTGTGTTATAAGATACGAACCTTATTCCTACTATATAATTCGCTAGTTCTCCCGTATATAACAAATTGTAATAGTGTATGGGCAAATTGTGGTTCGACAAAAATCAATTCTATTTTCAAACTGCAAAAGAAAGCCATACGTATTTGTACAGGTTCGCATTTCTTAGCTCACACTGATCCTTTATTCTATAAACTTAAAACACTAAAAAATTTCGATCTGAACACTACTCAAGTAGCAGTTATTATGTTTAAGTACATTAATAATCTGCTTCCACCATCCTTTGATAACATGTTTAGGTTTAATAATTCCGTTCATTCATACTCTACTCGCATATCTGGAAACTTCCATCTTACAAACCCCAAATTATCAATAACACACAAATCTGTTAGACATTCTGGCCCGGACATTTGGAATGATTTACCCGACAACATAAAGTCTTGTTCAACCATCTACTCCTTAAAAGCTACACTTAAACGACAAATAATACAATCATATGCTCCCCCTCTCTAAATTAGTATAACAAAACCGTGACTTATTTATTCTTTATCATGCAACTGCTCACTGCACCTGCACTTGCACCGCACCCTCTTGATCACTCAGTTTTTCGAAGAGAGTTATGTCGCCAATTCTTTTTACGAGGCCGCCATCCATCTCCAGCCTAACCGCTCACGATGGTGGTCTCCTGCGTTCCGAATTACCTCTCTAATTTATTGAAAATATTTCATATTTCTTATGTTATTGTATGCTTCGTACATGTTTATCGAATGATATAATTGTACATGATTTTTCATTTAATTACTTTTGTAAACATTGTATTCATTGTATTTGTTATTGTTCGAAATTTTGTACTTGGACTTTGAATTTGTATATTTTTGAACGCAGAAATAAAATCAATCAAACAAACAAAATGTGAAGCGTATTATTACACACACACACCCACACACACACACACACATTTTTATGACCTACAAAACACACCGCGATTTACTGCGTCACGTATAATACGAAAAATAGCGCTTGTGACATAAAGTTTCAAAGCGCTGTACGCAAATCAAGATTACTTCAAGAAAAATCAATATTACTAAATGAAATTAACCTTACTTAGAAAAATTATAAGAAAATAAAATATTACTAACATAACTTAACAAATTAACATTACTTAAACTACCAAGAAGATCAAACATTATTAACATTACTAAAGAAATTAACATAAACATATTTATAATGGCAACAATGTAAAATACCCAATGTAGGCATCGTAATCCTACTTCAAACTTATTTTATAGTTATTTGGGTTGTGTTTGGAATAGATAAGTTTTTAGATGGGTGAGTCCAGGATATGGGCGGGGAGAGTGTTCCAAAGAGTGGGGGCACAGACTAAGAAGACACTGTCACCATATCGGTTGTGGGTGCGAGGACCAAGTGCAAGCTGGGGTCTGGATGATGTTCTAATGTTCATGCCGGTAGTCTGTTTGGTGAGATCAGTTCTAAACCAGACTTATGAACAGGCCCATTATTCATCAGGGTATACAAGGCGGAGTATAGAGATAGGGATTAGATAATAATATGGATTGAAATTCACCGTTTAAAATATTTTATATAGATATACGGTTCAATGAGATAGAGAGAGAGAGAGAGAAAGAGGCATGATTTTCTTCAACATAGCTTAGAAATTTGTCAAATAAATATATTCCCTGAGGAGTTTATCATTATTAGTGGTGTGGCCCATTTTAAAGTCTGCACACAGAATCGATATGTGTGTCATGAAAATCAAATTAGTCATGAGACGTAGCCGCGGGACTGGGCCATGCCCCCGGTACCCCCGGTGCTCACAAGAACAACATTTAATAGATTTACCAGTTGAAGAAAACAAGATACTATGGTGCTAGTTGTGCCATGCACCACCAGGACGATCATCAGGTGTTCTTCCACAAGTCGGCAGGAGTTTCGGCTCGCTCTCGGTGGTGGGCCAGCAGTGCAATGCACCATCCCCCCTGGTGCAAAATACAATGCAACAAAACGTTGTTTAAAAATGTCAGTCGCTTTCTGCTTTTAGACATACTTGGTCCCAACCGACGCAGAACCTGTCTCTGCTGCCTCAGAAGCAGCTCTTCAACCCTGCCTTGTCTCGATCTCTACTTGTAAAACCCAAATCAACCTCAACGGCAGGCAAGATACTTTCAACCTTGTGTGCCACTCTGCTGTCAACTCGGAGTACCTTGTGAGCTTACCCTCAAAGGCATGGTTCATTGTGCTCCCATGAGACTGTGAAGTCTCCGATGATCACCTTCTTGACGGAGTCTGCCCAAGCGGGCCCAAGTTTGTGAGCGCTACATGCTGCGTGAAACCAAGGAGTTACTCTTTGGTGAAACCACCCTTCTCATTCAAATCAGCTTGACCTGCCAGTCCCTAACTGAGGACATTAGTATACTAGAACGAGAAGTTCATTTTCAGTTCTTGGTTTGTCCACCTCCTTCACAAAACTATCTAGAGCCTAGAATATTCAGAGGCACCACCAGTGAAATTGAGGCCTTTGGAGACTTAGAGGACTTTGCCTCAATGGGTACAAACCACAGGCCAAACTAGCCTCATAAGCTATCAGTATATGCTGGCGATTTCCCAAGACACCACAACACTCTTGTTGGACTTATCATACCACGTGCTGAGATTCAGGAGTGGGTAGAAGGTCATATGTTGCTCTGACAAGGAAACATATTCTGCGAGGCTCCACCTGCCAATATACATTACATTCCAAGTCAAATTCCCGGACTCTACTCTTTCCCAATTTAGTCCAGGATCACTGTTTAGATTGACCTATTAACACCCGAATCTCCTGCATATTTTTCATGCGTCGCTACTTGCATTGCCTGTGGCCGATTACAACTATAACAGTAAAACTCATTTTATTGCATAACATCGCTGCATATATATTGTGATGCAATGACATGCAAAGTTTGATTGATCAAAAATAAACGATCGCAAGACTTTCAAAATATCATCTCAAGAGGGATTTCAATATCCTAGTGAATATCCCATTAAAATCACCCCCCCCCCACGCACCAACAAACGAAGTAACCTACATAATATACACTGTACCACACACCACATGAAAGAAAAGGATGAGAAAGAAAAAGGAAGGAGAGGAATGTAAGAAAGACAAAGAGAAGAGACAAAGAGCCGAAAAAAGAAGAAGGCAGATAAAACAAGCAAGAGGAAAAATATAATTTCAAACAACAACAACAATAACGATTATAATAATAATGATAACAGCAGTAATAATGACAATAGCAGGGCTCAAATTATTTTTGTCCACGGGGGCTCTTCAAAAAAAAATAGCCCCCGTGAACCTTCTCACGGGGGCTCTTTTAGTGCTGACGGGGGCTCTTATTTTAATACAAATTTCCATTGGATGAAACTCCTAAATTCCTTGGTATTTTATCATTATCATTTATTTAAGTCGGCATTCTCCCTCTTAGAAATTTACTTGTTACATAGCTGTATACTTTTATCCCCGTGATCAGTGGCGGATCCAGGGGGGGGGGGGGGGGCGGGGGCCGCCCCACCCCCCCCCCCCTGGGAAAAAAGAAAGGGGAAAAAAGGGGAATTTTCTTCTTTCTTTTTTTTGAAAAAAGAAGTGTTCCTTTCCCACTTGTATCACAGAGAAACAACAGTTTAAGTTAAGTCTAACGTTAACGTTAATTTGTTATTAAAATGTAGAGTACAGCCCTTGGCCTTAGGCCTAATTTAGGTCGTAACTGTTACTGTTTGAAAATCTAAAGTAAAATTAGACGGTTTTCATGGTTAGACCAAGTAATTGAGAAAAAAAAGTTTACCTGTCACTGAGACCAGGTCAATCAATCTTCTAGATCCATTATTAGGGTCTAACGTTAGTAGATATAAGGTAGATGCAGGCGCGGATCCAGCGGGGGTGAGCGGGCCTTGCCCCCCCCCCTTTCCGCAGAAGAGAAAGAGAGAGAGAAAGAGAGAGAAGGAGAAGAGGGAAAGGGAAAGAGGAGAGAAAGGGAAAGAAATAACAGGAAGAAGAAAAGAAAAGGGGGAAGAAGGAGATCGGGGGGGGGGGGCGAAAGGGCCTTGCCTCCCAGGCTGTTGCCTCCCCCAATTAAACAAAATAAGAGAGAAAGAAGGAAGGAAATTGAAAGAAAAAAGGAAAAGAGGAGATAAAGGGAAGGAAAATTGAGGAAGAAGTAAAGAAAAGAAGGGGGATATCATGCAGTTGCAATTTTCCCGCCAACAAGTTGCGGATGGGGGTGGGGCAAAAGGCCTTTGCCTCCCCCCGCCCCCGCTAAAAAAAAAAGAGAGAGAAGGAAGGAAAAGAAAAAAAGGAGAACTAAAAGGGACCAAAAAAGAGGAAGAAGAAAAACAAAAGGGTGAAAAGAATTTCGATGCGGTGTTCGAGTAGAATTCTATGATAATATACTAGATGATGATATACTTTCTCGTAGCTTGATGCGACGAAGTGTCTCTATCCAGATATCTGTTAGTATTATAGAATATAGAAGCCTGATATGACCTTCTGCTCGTAACCGACAAGTCACCGCATTAAAATTAAATTGCAAAATATGATGGTGGATGAAACTTTCTAATATTCAAAGATATATGACCTTCAGACCATATTGTTTCATTATTTTTTATTCAATCAATCAACGTCAAAGAATTGATTTATCATCGCACTTCAATTTATTATTTCACCTTTTAATGTACTTTCATTCTTATGCATCACGAAAGAACACTGAATTGGATTCTTCAATGATTGTTTTGGTTAATTTCCTCCCCTTTCCTTCTCCCTGTTTAATACTGATAAAATTTTCAATTTTTCTTAATCAAGGCAAAATATTATTTTCATATTTTCTTTATGCAAGACAGGGAGAGAGAGAGAGAGAGAGAGAGAGAGAGAATATGTTAAGAGAGAATTATCGAGTACAACTATGAATTGCATCCTTTTCAATATTATTCAATTCGCTGAAAATCTTTATTTTATAATTCCACGGGAGCGATTTTTAATTTTGCAATCGCCCCCGTGGACAACCTGATGGGGGCGATTATGGAGCTCACGGGGGCGAATCGCCCATCGCTTCCGTGTATTTTGAGCGCTGGACAATAGGATTGCTAGTAACAACAATTATTATAACAATAATGATAATCATAATCATAAATAAACATTGCTGATATGCGAATTTTGGGCTTGATTAATAGCATAGTTCAACGTACTTTAAACGCCTACTCGATCACACTCATCGTCATAGCTACTTGTAACAATTTGATCTGATTAATAATTGAAGTGTCTCAATAGTTCGCACTAATATCTCAAATTAAGATAGTATAGTCCCATTAAGAGATTCATTAAACTGATAATATTTCGGGCTATAAAACTAAGTGATGATGACTAAGACCAGGCAATTCATATTCTTTATTCGTCTGGGGAGTCTGAGAAGTCTGTGACTAGTTTTAGCTGTTTAAAAAAACATTGTCCAAGATGACAATACTTGATCGACTTCAGAGTTTGGCGTCATGGAGTCTTTTATTCTTGGCAGCTTGTTCAGCGGTACAAGGTGAGTTTCATTTTTTAAAGCGAAAAATGCTCAACCTCAAGGCTTTGTTTTGAACTGGATAAACAATAATGAGTAAAGCCACAACCGTAGGGATTAAGTATCTCACAATTTAAATCGTACATACATTTGAATTAAAATTTTTCACCGTTCATTTGTTTTAGGAGAATACCTAAATATCACAAACCTCTGTACTTACATTGTTTGAAGTAGTTTATATACTTAAATTGTCTTGTTTAATAGAAAAACAGCTATTTTAAAACGTTAGATGAAGTTTAAGATAAATATCATTGATGCAATTATGATACTGTAAAACGGGCTGAAAAATACGGCTACTGTATCATTATTGTGACAGGGCTCTCCACTTCCTCAAACTAATGGTTTCTCATTCTAAGTTTCGATGGAGCACCAGCATTTACAATGCTTTTCTAAATTTCCAATTTTTTTTTTCCCTTCTCAATTAAAAAAAAAAAAAAAAGGAATATTCTCTGCAAGTTGAATTCAACACGATAGGAACTACCTGGTCCAAAGCATTCTTTTCCTTCCACCATAAAAATGGTTACGGTGAGGGGTTATTATGATTAAAAAAATGATCAGATATAACAATAGTTAAAGTATCTGACGTGACCGTAAAGGCGTTCTTTTAAATAAGATTTAATAATAATGTTTAGTATCTAAATATGTCAACATTTTCGAACATGATCCCCAAAAAGGTATATTGTCTTTATTGCAGTATTTTGGTTAAAACTTTCATTTCAGCTCAGAATTGTGATGTGGATGAGAGACAGCCAACTGTCTGGTTGGGTAAGTTAGTTTCACTATGATTTTAAAAGAAATGCAATGTATGAAATATACAGTTCTGCTACAAATAAGATACAATTACAAAATATGTATCGGAAATTATACGACTAAAATATAGACAGTTGACCAGCTCAGTTGCATGCCAAAGTAACTTGTCCATTCAAAAACATTTTCTAAAAACAACATCTAATAACATTAATCAGCGTTTATTATAGAACAACACATTTTAAAGGCAGGTGACTTAATGAATTAGGTACGTTAAAGAAGATAAATGTAGAGCAGTGGGTTGGCCTAGTGGCATATGTCATGATAAAACGGCACTAATGATGTGACAATAAACGATAACAAGTTATTTATAATGCCATCATATCTAATCGTCAAAAAAGGTTTGCGAAACAGGAATATCCTCATGTTCTAATTACACGTGCTTTGAAAGCAAATTGACAATGCTATTATTTGTCTATCATTTCAACAAGCTCCGTGTTGACTTTTTATTCTTGCATCGATTATAGGTGATGAGGATGATGCAAATTTCTGTCAAGGCAGCGCCGAGCAGTGTGCTCACTTCGGTCTTGATTTCGTCTGTGAGGATCCGAATGGAGGATCACTTGGACCTTGTGTCAATGGCACCAAAGTGAAGTGTGCGTCACCACCTGCTGTCCCTCTGGATGACCCCACTCCTGCCACCACTATAAGAGTTCTTGCCTATAACGTCTACGAGCTACGCTATCTATATTGGCAGAATGGTCAACGAGAACGGACCTGCCGTATTCCACATGAAGTGTTCAGTTTGCATCCAGATATTGACGTCATCGTGTTCAATGAAGTCTTCATGGGAGGTTGCTTTGCCCCTTTCAACGATACCATCGAAACAAGCACTCTTACCATACGTGACATCATGGACCAATATGGATTTGTTTATTACACAGAAACCGTTGGCATTGGAGAACCTTTCCCAAAAGTTGAGAATGGTGGAGCATTCATTGCTTCTAGGTGGCCAATTGTTAAGACTGATTCTCGGGTTTTCAATGTAGCGGAGCCTTACTCATTTTTGGCTAAAGGGGTTGTGTACACTATGATCAACAAGACTGTAGATGGACAGAGCGTAATGTATCATGTCTTTGGGACTCACATGCAAGCATGGCGAACCCAAGATGCAGACGATGTACGGGTTGCTCAGGCAACAATCATTCACGACTTCATGCTGGAGCAGGACATCGGTGATGACGAGCCCGTCATATATGGCGGTGACCTCAATGCCAGACTGAACACAACAAACGGTGATGACGTCGTCGACGCTCTAGACGCCACACTTGCAAGAATCATCGGTGAACTCGACGTCACCTACGATCACGAGAACAATGACCTGTTTGACGAAAGTAATGCTACAAACTGGTGGTTGGACTACGTCTTGTTCAGTCGATCTCACATTCAACCTGAAGCTGCTACAACACAAGTCGTAAGACCTCGTATGTCTACACCCTTAGGGATTTGCTCCACGGCAATATCCCCTATTCCAAGCTACCCCAAATCTGATCTATGCCTCGAAAGTAAGAACATTACAGACCTGTCTGATCACTACGCCGTTTTGGGTACTTATCATTACAATATGAACTCTCCTCCCCCCACGGACCATCCGACCACGACTTACTCTGGTGTCGGTCATTGTATCCGCAACAATGTACTGGTAGCATTGAGCGTCATGGTAGGGCTAATTCTGATATTCTAACTCAAAGATCTAATCCTTTCTTCTTGAAGATGATTAATTAAATTAAAATCAGAATTTTGATTTTAATACATCTATTTGACTATCTTATTGATTTTTTGAAATTTGAAATTTATTTGATTTCCAGGTACATGTATAAACAAAATAGAAATGACAACACAGAGCATATAACATTAAGAGTTACAAGACAGTGAAAAAGCCACCAGCGGACGCCTGAGGATTACCTAAAAGAATTTCCATTCTGTCATGAGGTTCTCCACATCCACTGGTGTTACATATAAATAGATTTAAGAAGTAACGGTAAAATAACATAACATAATTCAAGTTCATCCATCAAGCAAAATACATAATAGAATGATTGCATGTATGTTGAACTTTGTGGCATGAAGAAAATAACAATCATGTACGGCATGTAACGGTAAAATAAAATAACATAATTCAAGTTCATTCATCAAGCATAATAACTTATAGAATGATTGCATGTATGTTGAACTTTGTGGCATGAAGAAAATAACAATCAGGCACGGCATGTAACGGTAAAATAAAATAACATAATTCAATTTAATGTAATTCATTTAATGTAATACCTGAAGGGATCAGAGATCCGCGCGTAGAAACCTCCACACCACCCCGCTCGAATGAGTTCACTCCTCGAACAGCCCCCCACCGAAAAGGCACTTCGACACAAGTGCCAGAACTCAACTCAATTCAATTCAACTAATTTACTTAATTTAAGCAAATCAGCTAAACCGAACCGAACAAAATTCCAACACCTACATCAGAACGCCCTCTCAATGGGAGACTGCTCAAAGAGCAAACCCCTCAGCGCACCCAAACAGGGCGATATAGAGGTGTCCACACACAGATCCCTGATCTCTTCAGGTAAAGTATCCCAGAACCTAAGAAAGGCATAAAAGCATGAAAATTTCAGAGCATTAGATCTTGCAAGTCGATGGTTGAAGAAAAGACTATGGGAGCGTCTTGAACTGGGAATGGGAAGAACATAATCGGGTACATCATGACAACTACGGATGCATTTTACAACAAATGACACTGTCAAGTAAATGAGACGATTATACAAGGGTGGCAAAGCTAGCTTCTCCATTCGTAACGAGTAAATCGTCTTTGAATAGCCTCAAGAGCTAAGATGTGATTCTTTTGGTGTGGCAACCAAACTGGGATGTTGTATTCAATGACAGGTCTACATATGGTACAGTATAATCGTTTAAGGACGGTTGCATTTCTGGAGTTTACAATCCGACGCACAAAGCCACATAATCGTGCACATCGGGAAGTCACAGATTGGATGTGTTTACTCCAAGAAAGATCACTCGAGAATATTAATCCAAGATGTTTGTGTGAGGTAACTACATCAAGTTGACGACCCCCCAAATTGTACTCTTTATCGATTCCTCTTTTAGAACGTGTAATATGCATTACTTTGCATTTAGATGCATTGAGTTCCATCTTATTGTGTGTACACCATTGAGATATTAGGTTTAAATCATTCTGAAGTACATTGCAATCATTTGGATTCTGAATCGGGCGGTACAGTACTGTATCATCTGCATACTGTGGGAGTGAGGAGGATATTATGGAAGGTAGATCAGAAACGAAGAAGTTAAAAAGGGTCGGACCCAACACTGACCCTTGAGGAACTCCAGTTGTCACACTGGACCATTCAGAAAATGTACCCTGAAACAAGACCCGTTGGTTGCGATCTGACAAGAATGATTGAATCCACCCAAGAGCTTTTTACAAATACCAAAATCATGTAGTTTTCTTACAAGTAGTGCATGGTTTACCTTATAAAAAGGCCTTAGCCCAATCCAAGAAGACAGTATCGACTCTAGACACTTTCGCGCTTTCTAAACATTTGTCAAGGTCATTGTACAAAGTTGAGGTCTGAGTAGAACAAGAGCGTTTTTCCATAAAACCATGTTGAGATAACGGTATGATACCATACATATTAGAATGTTTAAGTAGATGGGAAGCAACAATTCTTTCCAACATTTTGCAAGGCACTGAACATAAAGAAATCGGTCTGTAGTTGGATATAGATTCACGATCACCACTTTTCAGTAAAGGCACAACATTCGCCAATTTCCATTCACGGGGTACCGTACCTAAACTTAAACTTAGATTAAACATGCGTGTGAGAATAGGGGCCAAAGAATTACCTGCTAACTTTAAAAAACCCGGCAAGATGCCATCGGGTCCAGGGGGCTTTGACGCTTTTAGGTTGTTGATAGCGATTGAGACTTCCTCAGTTTGTACGCTTATTTGGTTCAGGGGTAACATGCCAGCACTGTCTCTATTACAGGCATCCAATATATTGTTAGACATTGTATCAATTGTAGATTCTGAAAAGTTCGAGCAGAAATATTAATTGAACACATTAGCAATATTTCCAGGATCATCATAATGATTGTTATCAAGTTTAAACGTTGAAAGCATTGAAGTTGCCTTCTTAGCTTTTACAAACGACTAAAATCGTTTGGGGTTAGAATTGAGGGAGATACTTGAGATATAATCATTATAGGAAATCCTTTTTTGTTTGTTCACAAGAGTACGGATTTCTACATATTTATTCCATAGATCTGTATTTTCATTTCCAGTCCTTTTCTTTGCAATAGCCCTTTTAAAGGCTCTCTGTTTTTTCTTTGACAGTTTAATAATATCTTGTGTTATCCAAGGGGAGCGTCGTTGAGCTTTGGCTTGTGCGATTGGTACAGTATCCTTAATTGCAGCATGTATCAAGATACTACAATTCTCCCAGGTTTCATCAACATCAGATTCAGCAATGAATAAATCCCACGGTATACATTCAAGGGTTTTCCGTATTCGTATCGTATTGATCAGCTTTGTGAAACTGATGGAAGTAACGAGAGAGTTCCTGATGATTATGATGGACGTCAAGATCGAAGAGTACTGAGAAATGGTCACTACTGGCAAGACCTGGACCACTGCGAAGGTTTTTGACGATATCCGGCTCATCGCAGAACTCCAGAGCCAGCATAGAATGCCTTCCATTGGATCCAATGCGAGTCGGGAAGGAGACCAATTACGTTATACCGAGACTGTTAGTAAGATCAAGTACATCTGACGTCTTCTTATCAGGGACATTGGCTATGAGCTCATCATTACTTGTGTATTGTAGATTTAAATTGAAATCTCCTAAGAGGAATATTGATTTAAATATTGATTTAAAATGATGTATTACTGGAAGGATATGGTTGATGGATGTAGTAAGCTCTGTAGTAAAGTGATGATTTGACGAAGGAGGTCTGTAGCACGTGCCTACAAGAATCTTTCCTTCGTTATTAGGCAAATTGATCTGCACCCAAATGATTTCGCATTGTTTACATTCAGTTGCACCTTCAAGATCCAATCTTCGATTTGCATTAATGTTACATTTGCATGCAAACAAGACCCCACCACCATTTATGTTACGGTCCTTTCTGAAGACGTTGTAAAGGGACTGATCAAGAAGTTCACCATCAAAGATGGCATCACTGAGCCATGTTTCAGTAACACTTAAGATATCTATATTATCAACAGACATCTTAGTTTGAAGTGCAAGTTGTTTATTACCAAGCCTTCGTGCATTTAGTAGAGCACATCGTAGGTGTTTCTTGTTACTGACAGTGTCTGGTCCAGGATTTGGATGGATATCACCACATTGAATTGATATATTAAGGCCCTTTTTTATTCAATTTTTCTGATTATAATACACATTCAATCATGCATGCCATTATCAAACCTTAAATAACTTCAATAACTTAAATAACTTAATAAGAGTGCAGAAGTCAAACCTTGAAAAGAAGTTGAGAAGTATTGATTGACTTGATTTATCAAAAGAGATCTTCAGTTATTAAAGTTTCATAAATTGTCAATAATCCATTTGTATTTGCTTCTCTTTTTGAAATTGTATATTGATTATTTGCATAGCTGATGCATTTTCAATGATTACTTTGTAACTTATTTCGATTTAAAAAAAAAATAAAAGTAAGATAACCCAGAAATTGTGGATTCTATTTGAATAAATTTGAATTGAACTTTAATTATTCCCGCGATATAGACTATGAACAAATACGTGAAAGATCTTGCCATAAACTAAGACAACTAATCATTGGCAATGACGCACTTCCTACTACTATCACTATAAATGTAGATTGAATCATCAAATGAACGCACACTGTAAAACTCTTTTTATTGCATAACAACGCTGCATATACATTGTGATGCAATGAATGCAAAGTTTGATTAATCAAAAATAGGCGATCGCAAAGACTTTCGAAATATCATCTCAAGAGGGATTTCAATAGCCTAGTGAATATCCCATTAAAATCAAACCCCTCCACCACGCACCCACACACTAAGTTACCTACATAATATACACTGTACCACACACCACATGAAAGAAAAGGATGAGAAAGAAAAGGGAAGAAAAGTAATGTAAGAAAGACACAGAGAAGAGACAAAGAGCCGAGAAAAGAATAAGGAAGATAAAACAAGCAAGAGGAAAAAAATAATTACAAAAAAACAAAACAATAATGATTATAATAATAATGATAACAGCAGTGACAATGACAATAGAAATGCTAGTAACAACAATCATAATAACAATGATAATCATAAATAAACATTGCTGATATGCGAATTTTGGACTGGATTAATAGCTTAGTTCAACGTACTTTAAACGCCTACTCAATCACACCAGGGAGGTGAGACTTTACTCATCGTCATAGCTACGTAGCAATTTGATCTGGTTAATAATTGAAGTGTCTTAATAGTTCGCACTAATATCTCAATTATGATAGTAAAGTCCCATTTAGAGATTGATTGAATTGATAATATTTCGGGCTATAAAACTAAGTGATGATGACTAAGACCAGGCAATTCATATTCTTTATTCGTCTGGGGAGTCTGAGGAGTCTGTGACTAGTTTTAGCTGTTTAAAAAAACATTGTCCAAGATGACAATACTTGATCGACTTCAGAGTTTGGCGTCATGGAGTCTTTTATTCTTGGCAGCTTGTACAGCGGTTCAAGGTGAGTTTCATTTTTTAAAGC